ATCTCTTCTTCTGCTTGCCGGTCCCTTTTCTGTGGAACTCACAGTTTGTGCGTTGCATGCTCTTTATGCTGTTCAGCCCATGAAAAATACATGAGTCCCTCGCCCTTTCTCCCCACGGCTTCATAAATCTTGCATCGCTTTCTGCGCAGTAGCTTGGCTTCATGGGGTGATGGGGAGCAGCCTCCCCGCTGCTCCTGCCCCGGGGCCACAGCACCCTCTGGGGACGCTGGCACTACAGGCTCGAACCCTGCCAGCCTGACAGAGGAGGGGGGTCTCGGAGCCCCCTGAGGCGTGTTTGTAGCTTATTGGATAGGAAAAATTACTGAAAATAAAAGTGATGCAGAGAAGAGTATTAGCCTGGTCACAGCTTGCCAAGCATCCTCAAGCGCTGGCCTTTGCAACCGGAGGTGCCGCTGTGCACTTCCTGCGGGGACCAGCCCGAGGCTGTGCAGAAGAACCACCCGAAAAATAAATCGGGCACGTGCTTAAGGACCTGCTTTGTAGGAAAAGCGCCCTGCCTTTCTGAGCAGGTAAATCTATGAGTTGGCAGCCACAGAGGGCAAGTGCCTCTTCTCACACTGAGCCCCGTGTTGGAAAACGATAAGCAAACCCGCAGTGGAGATTGGTGTACGGGCTGGTCCCACACCAAGGTGGGCACAAAGGCTCAGGAAAGTTGCTTAATTCCTTTAGTTCCGACTTAAAACAGGGGTTTGCAGCCAGCTCTCACCTTTACTGGTAGCATTAGCAAGTTTTGTCCATTTGCATCCTACTCCCCCTCTCCCTCCCGCTCACGTTGGCTGATGAACAGGGGCAGGAGGCAGCTGCGGGCAGGGATGTGTCTTCATGAGGGCACCATCCCTATTTCTGTGGCATCTGTAATCAGGGAGACCTGAAACACCCTTGTTCCTCAAGATTTTCACTTGCCCTCTTTCCTTTTTCTGCGCTGAAGCTGCTGGAGGCGACGAACCTTCCCGATTCCCCCGTGAGCCCGGCCGCGGCTGTCCAACGCCTCCCCGTCGCCTGCAAAGCTGTTTTCGCTTTCACCTTCTCTGAAGAGGTTGCCCCGTTTTTGTTCTCTCCTTAGCACATGGAGCGAGTCAACGTGGTTTGTTCCTCGTCCTCCGAGCCCCTCTGCGCCCTCCCAGCATCTCTCCAGCAGACAACCCCGGGCTGAATCGGAAAACGCTGCGTGGGGACTGGCGCGTCGATCCAGAGAGATTTTATCCGAGCTGCTGACAACCTGTTTCCTAATCCAATTGACCTTGTGCTCCCTTTAATCCATAAAGCCTTTCCCGGCCGGGGTATGAGCGTACCACCCATCGTTTGCCGTAGCTTCCCGCGGCGTCGGGAGAACCGGCATCCTCAGCCGCAGCAGCGCTCATCTTGCAGGAGCCGGAAGATGCTGGACGCTCACCACTGCTTCCGTTGCACCTTTCCCAGGCCCATCTTTTCCTCCTTGGCCTTTCCAGCCTCTCTTTAAGGCTGGTCCGCACTCTGCAGCGTGAGATTGCTCCCATATCCAGAGGGTAGGGGAGGAATGGGGTTGGGGATGTGGTGGTGGGCGCTCCGGCCGGCCGTGGGTCTGCTGGGGTCCCCCACCAAAAAAAAAAATATCAGAGAAAATCAGTTCTTGGAGGGGGAAAAATAGGTACAAAAAATTGTTATTTCGGAGGAATGGGGGAGTGGTGTGGCCAGGGGCTGCTCCGGGGCTCGCTCGGTTCGGCAGGTGCTTTGCCCCGCAAACCAGACTAAAAAGCAGATTCCCCCTCCCCGC